TAGGTAAATCGTATATGATTACCTATAAGGCTATATATAGTTATTACTAATTACTAGAGCGCGGATATTTAGGTTTTTACATATTTTTATTGGCTTTATGCAGCTCTACGAGGATGAGAAATGTGGACGATTTATCCATCAAAGAGTGCGTAGGAAAAAATTTATTTTGCATATTAAAGCATATTTTGGACATTAGAGAATATTTGGCCAATTTTTATATTTTAGAATATATTCCATTATTGTTTCTAAAACATCATGTAAATTATTGATTTCTCGATTAGTGATTTTTTCTAGCAACAATATTTTCTAGGAAAAAATAAATAATTTGATATAAGAATGATAAAAATAAAAAATAATTCAGTTATCATCTTGTTTGTAATCAAATTGGTAACTTTGGTCATTCTGTTCCTCTCAGTCCGTGATTGTACCCATAGAATATCGTATTTGATAACTGATAACGTGGTAGGAACTGTTTTTACTTTTAAATTGTTTAACATCTTACGATTTATTTTAATTAGTTGTACCTAATATTAATTTTTATTTTATTAAAATGCCAAAAATGAAACATTTATATAAACAGTGGATAGAGCCGTATAATAAAACAAACGATACAGTATTTACGACTGATGGCGATATAGTTTATTGTCAAGTATGCGAAAAGAAGATTACTTACAACAAAATATCGCAACTAAAAATATTTTGTTTTTATATATATATATATATATCATTATATATTATCATTATATATTTATATACCTATGTATGAATTATTTTAAATTTTTTATATTTAAATAATTTACCTGTTACCCAAAGGAATGATAGTGTATACTGTATAACTATAAAGTTATATTATATTGATTTTATTGAATTATTTTGAAAAAAAAAAATCATATTATTAGCATATTTAAAAGTGTAAAGCATATTTAGAGAATATTTTAGGGTTTTTTTAGAGCATATTAGCATCATATTTTAAGCTTTTAAGAACCTAAAAATCCGCGCTTTACTTATTACCATACACGAATATATTATAAATTATAATCTTATATAATATATATTATTATACATTTAAGGTATAAACTATAAATACATAGGTAAACTACACTCGTTAAATAATGTATTTTATTTAACATTTTTTTTATACTATGTTTCAAATAAATGTTAGAAAAAATAAATATTACATATGCTTAAGCTTAATAGCGGTTAAAAATTTAGATATTCTGTTCATAATTAGCCCCCCACCCTATAGAATATAAATAAAGTTCTTGCAAAGTAAGTAAGAAAATACTATTTATGTATTGAGATATTCAATTAAATTAGGCACCTACTTATTATTTTTCGGGAACACGAAAAATAAATATATGTCTGTAATTCAAAAATATTTTGAATTCATTATGGAAGATGGAACTGTGTTTATCTGGTTAATTAGTTGAAATCCGAACATCTGAATAATTCATAGAATTAATATAAAACTCTGATAGGTAGTCGTATTTTATTATATTATACACTGAATCTGCTTTGAATGAGCCTTGAAGAACAAATTACACAATATATTATAATATGATTTATACCTACCGAACATTAAAATATTAAATGTCTAAGAACCGAGATAAGTATTATAGGTATATCGCATATCGTATACCTATTTCAATTGCATGAATAATATAGGTAGTTACACGTCTTAATTTGTATGTAGTATGTTAAACCACACCACCGTTTTTATTATCGAGGAATTATGATGAGGAAAAAAGGATTTTATTTAATATTAGGTTATACATACATTTATTTTTATTTTTATGCAACATTATATCCTTATATTATACAATATAAATTAATGTGTATCTGATTGTCTGTTTCTTTGTCCTCTGTAGACATTAGACTTAGAAACTACTGGACAGTTTTCAATAAAAGTTATATCAAATATCAATAGATTCTTATAGAGACTCGGGTAAGTGTTTTACCTTATTCGTTTAACTCCTATATATGTTGCTATATGGCTTATGCAGTCATGCCTCACACATGCAATTAATTTTGTCTCACGTGAATCGAATATCTTTTTGTTTACTTTAAAGGTTGTCATTGGTTACAGACTATACAACAGTTGTTATGATATAGGATATGATTGTCTATATTTTATTTATTGTTATTTAGGCTAATCAAGCTATTCTATTTCTATACAAATATAAAGTAGAGAAATAGCTATTATATATTAGATATTATATAGATAGGCAAATAGTGTACCTACGGTTTAAGTTTGAGCATAAGTACCTAAAAAAATAAACAAAAAACAACTGGGAATATTTCAACTGAAGTAAAACAGAAAAGATAGATCGATAAATTATACATTTATAGTAGATGTACAAATTGTACATGTAGTCATTAGTCAGCTAATAATAAGATACCTATATTATTATTTATTAGCCGGGTTAGGTATGTCGTATTATGCTCGTATGTATATCTGAATGACGCATATGGAAATCTACAGTTTTTGACCAGTTGGCACCAAGTTTTAAGCACATTATTTGGGATCCCAGACGTCAGAGGTCGTAGGTCTTAAAAGTATCTATTAGAATAGAAGCCATATAGGCAATAGTATACGGTCTTAGAATAATATTATTATTGTTTTGTGTAATAGGAACACAAAAATGAAAAATACAAAGTGTATTAAGTGATTATTTATAACTGAGGCTTATTGAATCAAAATATACTTGATTTTGTCGATTCAATGAAAGTTTAGATACAAGATTGAACTAGTTGTCTTTACGTGCCTTACCCGATATTAATAACCTCATATTCGTTCATTTCTGCTTGCAATTGGTTCACGTAAGAATTATATTTCTATCCGCCCGCTGATGGATTACTCATTTCGGTTTCATTTATCGCCGGCAAATAAATATAGCTATAGTGCCTATTACATAAGATATATAATACGAGTATTATACTTTTATACACCTATCCTGCAGAGCTATTCTACGCACTCCACAGTCCGCAGGAATAATTATTGACATTTATTAAGTAAAACAATAATAGCAAATTATTAGAAAATCATTTTAAAACTATAATATGTATAACAAATAAGAAACGTCACTTTGATTTAAATAAATAGGTAACTTTCAAGGATCCGAGGAAAACCGGTCACACGTGCAGACTTGTGTACGCGTTTACTGACATACTGTTACACGTGATATAATGGTATGATAAATAAAATAATAAAAATATGCATGTTATATTATACACATGTGTGCGCTGACGTTTTGAGTGGGTGGCTGGCTAGAACGAGTGTGTCGGAGAAACGACAGTCGTTTCAAATTTCGACAGTGATTAATCGTAGTCACATTCTGAGCAGTTTAAATTATAGTATTTTACTGATGAATAAATTGTTTTATTTATTAAAATGGCTCTAACAGCTATATAATATCGTTATTATATTACGACAACTATTGATTATTTTCTTATTGTTTAGTTTAGTATATTATGAACTTAAATCTCAGCTTTTATTATCCCACTATCCCACATTTGAAATAATATTAGGTACATATAATATGTACAATAATATACCAATGTCTTTTTATATGATAGTTATAGTAACTGAATACATCCTATAAAGTTCTTTATTTACCCCTAATATAACAGCTAGACAAGTATACAACCCTAGAACCGCTTTCTCAGTACTTTGGGGTCATATACCTATCTATATCGTTCATTAATATGAATATAAATTATAACATAGGTAGGTAGGTATAACCAATAGTACTTACTACTTACCTATACATTTTTAACCTAACCTTTTAAAGGTCTCTGTGCTTTTAACTTTGACCATTTAAATACGCAACATATAATTATACCTCAACATTAGATAATTAATTCCGTTTTCGATTCAACTTCTTCCGCAATAATTGCAGATTACTATGGATATTACTACCATTCCGCTTCTCGCTCATTTTCGTTCCATCCAATGACCTCCGACCCGAATGCAGTAATCGCAGAGGTCCACGACTCCATATTCCACAGCATAACGTTTAATGTAAGAAATAGTCTTCACGGTGGATTCTCGTCCAATATTTTTAAAATTATAAACAAGTCACTTATGCAGGTAATTACTAATTAGTATATTCTTTATTGTTGCAACAATTTGTGTTTATATAGAGTCAATACTCTATTTTGACAAATAACAGATGCAACAACTTTTACAGAAAATAAAGATAATATATAATATATTGAAGATTATAATATTTTATATTATGTTAAAAACAGGCTGATCATAAAATGGTTAAAAAAAATTTAAAACAAATGTTTAGTTTCGTTTATCTAAACTGCATACATTAAAAGAAATGAAAATCTTCAGATTTTGACGAGCTATTTCAAAAATCATGACATATAGGTAGATAATACATACCACATACATAATAAATTATCAACATTTCTATTTAATAAGTAAGTTTAAATTAACAGGCCACATTGATTAGTTATACGTTTCTTTTTACAGCTCTACAATTTAGCAGTTTGTGCATAAATAATTAGTAATAGTTTCCTCTTACTGTTAAGGTTCTACCTAAAAGTTTAGGTAGAAATATGGAGAGCCTGTGCAAACAAATGTACATGTTGGAAATTTTTAAGTGGAAACTCAAGAGCCTCTTTTCAATGTTGTGTGATAATTAGTATTAATACAATTAAAATTATGTCACATTATTATGCGAAAACAACGATGATAAGCCCCTGGAGTGCGAGTAGTGCGACTTGTGCATTGTGCCTAGATTTAGTGTTATAATTATATCATACCACATATATATTATGTGAATAATTTTTAGAAATTGTAAACATAAATAAATTATTTTATAGGCCAATACATAGTTATTTCGGACTATATAGATAGGTAACAATATGCAGTATTATATTTGGGTCATTATGACACAGTCGATCCTATTAAATATTATTTGTATTTATAAACGCGAATAAATAAATATATATATTATAAATATTAAATATACATAATATACTGCTGGGTTCAGATTGGCTAAATATAAAATAATCGCCATAAAAGATAGATAAATACATCCTATGCCGATAAACACGGTATACTTTTGTGTAGTTTTTTTACAGCGATAGGGGCCAATACGCCGATGTTCGCCTGCATGATATACTAAACTGTTTACACAGTTGACCGAAACATCTGTCTACATTGAGGTTTTACCATTTCCAAGAGTGTTTTTAGGTAGCCATAGTCAAATTTGAGTGCATACGCTGGTATATAGGTACACAAAATCAAATTCTTCCTTTCTTTCCTTCTTTTTTTTAATGTTTTATGGTCTCGTGTAACTTTTGTAAATTAAATTATTATAATTAGATTTATTTGTTAACTATTAAGTGATGAGTGATATTTAAAAAAAAAATGGTTTATAGACTAATCGAGGTTAACAGGTACCAGTTATAATATGTTTGTGGTTCGTTAAAATGATATCAAACAGATGGTTTGGTTTTGAAACGTTTTCACCACAGTGTCAATGGCTTATTCATTTTCCAGAGCGAAATTATACTGAAATGTTCAAGAGTTGTTATCGATGCTGTTTATTTTATTTTGGTTTCGGTCGTCGTTCCGAGGACGTGGGCATCAATCTCGGGTTGTTGGAAAATGGAAATTCTGTTGCCGGCAGTACCGAACACTACACTGTTCAAAAGATATCGAGGTTAGTACTAATGGAATTATGACGGAAACGATTACATTTCACATAGATTCGTGTGCATAAATGTAATACATAAACTACTCGCACACAACTTGGCATTGTATGAGATTAATTGTTATCATATTACAGTTTTGGTCGACATATTTCTCACGACGAGGATGGACTTTCTGTGTCTGGTTTTACGAGCGATGGCGAAGACGATGATCCTCCGCCGAAAACACAAACCATGAAGAAAAGAGGCAAATGGGGAAAAACAATGAATAAACCCAAAGATCCAAAAACTCCAAATTCATTTAAAACACTAGCTGGTGTCAGTATGATGATGTTACAACCTATCACAGCGGGAGCTGGTTCTACTTCCACGCCAGACTTGGTGAGTTAGGTATTAAAATACTTAAAATATTATACCCGGTAAAATATAGTACCTATAGATTAAACACACGATTCATTTTTTTCAAACTTTTCATTGAGTTCTATAAATATATTTTTTAAATGTGCATGTAATTTATAAATAATATTATATAAGATGACAAGTAAACATAAAGAGCTGAATATTTAAAAAAAAATGTTTACTAAACCTCAATGGCATTTTATCATGACTATTGCCGTATGAAAATATTATAATATATCAGAATATTTAATTTTGAATCTTCAATAAGGATTTCCTCGCAGTGCAAAAAGTTGACTATAGTATAGTGGTAATTAAGTATAGACATTTTTAAAAAAAATTCCCTATTGCCTCTCTAGAAAGTCGCCCATAAAAATACATCAAATATAGACGGAGTAATATATGATGTTTAAAGTGTATAAAATCTGGATAGTTTTAACGAAAAAGTCAATGATAACCTGTACAAGTAGAACATTTTTTGGATATAAACGTTCGAAATATTGTTTGTGCGTTTTTACGTTATTATTTTTTTAAGAGTTTAACATCTGGTAAAAAAGAATTTTCCAAGAAAGAGGATAAGATGGATTATCTGTCTCCTGCGTCGTGTAAAGAAACTACAGGTTGGCTTAAGTCTCAGAGTATGCAGGTAAAAAGGGAACTTCCTCTTTCGATTAAAAACAAATTAATAAATAACAATAATACCAACATTGATTTCTAATTTTAGGATATGACCTCAACAACAGACTCTGATAGTTTTGCATTATCGTCAAAGAGTGCCGACGACAATACCTCAAATTCAGCGGCACGTCCTCATCGGTTTGGATCAGTTGCAACGTCTATGATTAATGTCACTAGTAGATTGACATCAATAAGATCAAAATCTAGTGAGGTGGTTTCGAATACTTGGAAAACACCAGTGGACAATGCGCCTCCAGTTGATCCTAATGCACACCAAGAACAAGCTTATGGGAACGTTAATTTTAAAATCACATACGATCAACATACGAAAAAGTAATATTATCAACAAAATGTAAATAACCTTACTTTAGACTTATCATGTATGCATACTGCAAAGTTATTAGCTAGGCACCTGTTAAACAAAGTTGCTGTAATGCTGTGTAGTATATAAGTAAGTAGGTACCTGATTAGGTTTCCAGTATACTAATACATTATCAAATAGGTCACTCTAATCGTGTTATGGATGTGTTAAATTTAAATCCAATGATTTATTCTCTGCATGCAAACAACGATTCCAAACGGAGACCGTGATTGGTTGGCTTCTGTATTTTTAAGAATATTTTATAATCTACACAAATATTAGCAACTAATTTTTAATTAGTAATATGGTATAGATTGAATTAAATGTTACCAAGAATATCACATTTATTATTTTATTAATTGTTTAGTACAATAATATTATAATAATTATTATGTAGTATTATTGTTATTAACTTATATAGTTCAAAATAAAATCATTATAGGTACCGTATAATGATGTGATTATTAGGCACGGTATACACTATAAATAGCTTAAATTAGTTTAAACATTTTTAACATTTCATTGCAAACAGAAAATATTGATGGACAAAAAGTTATATATATATATATATTAGTGAAAAGTTTTAAATCCCTACAGTTAATAGTTTTTGAATTACAATAAATTAATTACAATCAATACATGGATGCGAGGTTGAAGGGATTTGTTCAAAAAAATGTAGTCTAGGAACTGTACTCCCTACCACTTACTATTTTATTCATGGAGGGAACTTATGATCGTAAATTAAAGTAATTTCGTTTCTTTCTACCCAAACTTTTAATAACTCGTGCCCATCTCTATGTGTCTCAGTTTATCCACAACGATCGCTAAGGCATATTACCATATTTGTTTTGTGGACCTGTTTACATATAGATATAAATCTTAAATATAAAGTGTTTGATATATTATCGTAATTGTATATATTGTGTATAAGTTACTGATTTGGTATTCAATTATTTTTATTAATTATAAACCTTATGTATTATTTAATAATATTATTTAAAGTGTAATAAATAGTATTAATAAGACGGGTTAAATTGAAAAAAAAAACATTTTTTTTAAGACTGTTTGTTCGTGTGGAAAACTTGGATGGATTAGCGCCAAAAGGAAAAGATAAACGACCATATAAGACAGTTTTAAAGCTTACACTTTTGCCTCAGGAAAAAACAACAAAAACTAGTAAAACCATAGCTGCTGCTATGAGCCCCGTTGTAAATGAAGATTTTTTTATTAGTACCAAGTGTATTACAAACAAAGTTTTGAGGTACCTGAATAAGGTTTTATGGATAATGTTTTATTCTTATTTTAATGGTGTTATAATTTATTTAGGATATCTGTTTTTGATCATGATTACCAAGGAAAATATGATGCAGTTGGTCATGCTTTATTTTATTTAGATAATATATCACCAAGTAACGATGGGGCTCAAACTGTTAAGCTCTATAAACATTCTTGGGTAAGTGTTTCAATGCTGAATATAATAAATAATAATATTATAATGTTTAGTAATTAGAGTAATTACAAAATACTGTTTGTAGAAACTTTATTTTTATACTTTATATATAATATTTTTTCTACAGCCCGATATAAATCTTTGCAATATCAATATCAGCTTAAGTTATAAAAAGCAACAGGAAACTTTGCATATAGTGGTCCACGAAGCTAACAATTTAAATCTTCCCCATGGTTAGTAAAATAATAATATACCTACCTATAATAACTAGTTATTAAGTATTATAATGCATAACTTAAAGGCTGCAATTTACTTAATAAAACGTTCTCTAATGTATTTTTTTAATAATTAAATAATATATTTGTTTAGAAAAATCCCGGACTTTTGTGAAAATAGCATATTTTAGCAAGGGTAAACGCATCAAGGAATATCAATCGCCATCAGTACCCAACACAAAAGATGACCCTAAGGCAACATATGAATTTAAAGCTGCTATACGATTAGATTTAAATTCTACCGCAAATGGCTATGTAGTGATTGGTTTAAAAGAAAAAGGATTTTTAAAAAGGAATGAAAGTAATTTAGGGAGAGTAATATTTGGACCCTTTTTGTATACAGAGAGAGGCTATGATTTAACTCCTTGGGGCAAGGTTCTATTAACTAAAGAAGGTGTTTCAGATACATTTAAAACATATTTATAGCGTACATACAGAACAAAAGTATAAGTAGATAAACATTGAAATAAAATACATAGGCACTTTTAGTATAATATTTATTGTTAAAATAGAACATTTTATTTGTATTGAAATTTGTAATATACCAAATTGAAAATTATTTTTTATAGGCTATATAATAATTATTTTTTCTTTTTTGAGATTAAATATATTAAGTATACTTAGTATTTTTAGTGATAAATTATAATTGTAATATATCATGGTTGATTTATATAATCAATGATATTATATATAAAGTATAAAACTACGTTTAATATATTGTATAAAACGTATATTGATTTATAAATGTCAATGATAAAATATATTGCTATTAAGTGCGAAAACCTTATTATATTATATTGAATTTACCTGCCTCCGGAAATAATTGTAAGTTTTTATAAATTACAAGTGCTTATAATTTTTAACATCTGTGTGTATTTGAAATTTTGTAACTTTGTAAGGTACCTAAAAAAACAAATACCTATGTTGGAGTAGTTTTAATTTTTGTTATAATTTATTTTTGTCTAATGTTATTAATACTTATTAATTATTATTATTATTATTATTATAATTTTACTTTTTTATTTTTATTTTGAATATTTTAGTTTTAATAATTTTCTTTAATTAATTAATCATAATGAACTATAATTGTCCCCATCAGTTATTAAAAACGTGTTTGAATATACAAACAAACATTTGTATATTAAGAAACACAGCTCAGTATTCACCAATCACTAGTTACAAAACTTTACCGAAAGGGTTTTAATTAGCAAAGTTTCAAAATTATTCTAAATAACTGTTTGGTATTCTTATCGTTTTTTAATTTAAAAATGTTGCCTGGTTCATAGTTTTAAAACAATTTAGGAAAGCGCACTGCGAGTGTGCTAAAATCCCGGTCTCTAAACGTTTTTTAATACAACACAATAAATTATAACTTCATATAAAATTTAAAAATAATTCAATAACTTTTATATTTTGGAACCTATTTTTGAATATTGGCTTATATGAATCTGTATTAAATATACAGATTTTGGTATTTTTCAGTACTGACTAGTATGAATTTACTTCTGCAGAACCGTTATAAAATTATTTATTAATTAAGCTATTAGAGTAGTATAGTACTAACTTATGTTTATAAGCTTAAAAAGTAAGTGTACGTTTCCTGTCTTGTCTTTTTATTAACTTATAAAGTATCTACTAGCTATATAATTCTTATCGTTTACTACCTACATATGCGGCTAGCTTAGCGTAGACTATAGCTGTAGAGCACCGTTGTGTATCCTCTTAATACTAAACGGGTCGTATAATAATAAATTATTGTAAAAAGACAATAAAGACATATTTTGAATTGCTGCCTACTAAAAGCCTTCTAAAATATTCAAATGGAATACTACTGAGATAATAAATTTGGTCAATAATAAATATATTTATCTGTTAGTAGTAAGTACCGGGGTGCTATTTCATCTCCAAGAAAAATCTAGATTCGTTACGTATTTTTCTAAAACTCAAATCCTCTCGATAGTAATTTTCACCAACCCCACAGGAACCAATTTGGCGGTACCCACTATCCTTGCAGAAACTTCCCGTTTCAAGTCCAACGATTATAGATTCATGTACACGTATTGGATCTAAAGAGAAACGGACGTATGGAGATACCTAACTGATATAAATATATAATCATATATTAAAAAAATTCTTACCAATACACAGGTTTATACGTGTGTAGTATATACTAGCTAGCATTAAATTAAGCGTTTATGGTATAATATACTTTTGTATGGTATACTAGCCATATAATATAATGTACAGCTGGTTGAACCAACACAAGCATCCAAATCCCTAGCATATAATATGGTGAAAGGGAGGAGTGGTAAGTAGTTTCAGCCAAAGTATACACGAAAACTTGAAATTATCATACTGAATAATTGTATACTTTTATGCGACTGCAGGGGTGTGATTTTGGGGTACGTATATGCATAGTATATAGTATTATTTTTTATTACATAATATGTGTTTTAAGCGCGTGTGTGTATACTGCGTGTCTGTTTATGTTTGTATATTGTTATATCTTATATATATATATATATGATATAATATTATGTATAGTATATAGATACATAGTAAGTATGTGCATTGTTCACGATACATACTCTATATTGTACGTGTTTATACGCCACTATAACTATTAACGATAATAGTGGACCGTCCGACCGTCATTTAAACGGTTAAATGCGAGATTTAAAAAAAGGCCTTACACAATCATAGTATACGCAATATACTGCAAATAGTACCTACATTGCGAGGACAAAATCAGAACTGGTTTTAAATACTTTCCGTAATAATTGCTTCAAAAACACATACATTATTATTTGTTATATTAAATGTTATGATTATTCATAATAACAATAAAAGAAGTTATGCAGAACTGCAGAAGCCATAATTTATACGATATACGAATATACGCATTTCTGGTTTAACTGCGTAATTAAATATCGAACAAACAGATTCGCATACACTCCGATACGAGTGGTGGCCAAAAGGCATATACAAACATAACATTATTAAAAATAAGTGTAATTGTATTATAGACACGAGACGAACGTGATCAATTACGCGTGTGCTATAATGCTTAAATAGTTATATCATTTTTTTTTAATGCACACTTCTGTGGGTAATCGACTTTGATAATAATAATTAGCATAATATTACCGTTTAGATAACAGCGTGTTCACTGCGTAGTACACACACACACACACACACACCATTGTCCTATACTCTAAACACATAAAATAAAGACGGTTAATTATGTCTTATGAGTGTTGTTTTTAGCTGTTTAGTGTAGGTATACCAGTCCGTAAATCATTAATCCCAGTACTCGCCGTCATCATAATTGCGTCAAGCATAATAGCCGCATACCTGCTATGACAAAATGTTGTATTGGTACAGAGTGATCCACCAAGCATGCTCGTCCCCATTTTGTCCTCTAATATATTTTTTTGAATTCTTCAGCTTTTTGTTGTAGGTACTTCAGAAGTGTTCTGCGGTGTTCTGTTTTACAAATGAAATGAGAACCCATATTGTTTACTGTAAATTATTTAGTGAATAATTTTTTTGAAAATCTTGATGTACTTACTATTAATTCAACATTTAAACTAGTAACATTTCAGTTACCTATTTAAATGTTTGTCCTTAAAAATAGTTTTACAACAATACATATATATGTAGTATCGGATATAATTTTTATAATTATACTTGGACCATTCTTATAAATTATAAATATTGAAAAATTAATATAAATTACTATAATAATATACCCCCTCTATATTTCATATATACTATCTATTATTGTGGACCTATCAAACTTAGTACACACAATTAAATAACTCGAAAACTGCTAGTCCAAATTTTGAATCTGATGCGTCAACATTTTCAAAAAAATTATTTGCTAAATAATTAATAGTTTAATAAAGGGTGTTCATTTGGAAAAAGAAGTTTGTATCCCCAAAGGACGCCCCATAAGCAGTACCTACTAAAAATTTCAAGAATTAAAAAATATGGTCTTTATATAGGTATATTTAAAAATTCCAAAAATACCAAGTTTGTACAACTGCATTATTTAAGAATAAAAGGGGGTGAGCATGCTTGGTGGAACACTCTGTATACTAATTTATTATGTTATACTTATATAAAATGCATTCGTACACAATTCCGGGTTGACACAGAAAAGCCCAGAGTTAAACCAGAGTTATAGTTTTTAGATATACCCACACTGTCATTAAAAAATACATAATAAATCGGTAGTAACCGAGTTGGTTCTCGTTTGAAAAAGGTATTTTTTTAAGTAGAGTCGATTAGTTATCTTTTATGTTCAGATCAAATAGTACAATTTTAAATAATTGGTACAAAATATAGATCGGATAGTATAAAATATATTGTACTTACACTCTACAGTATCTATATACAATACAATGGCAATAGAGTGTTGTATTGGAGTTCTAGCAAATTATCGCTGATACCCCGGAAATCGGACAACTTTTAAAACTATTTTTGGACTGAGCTTATTATTACCCGAAGACGTCGAATACTGTTTTCCTAATGATTTGAAGGTGATAAAACCTTGTTAGCCAAAATTGGATCAGTTCTTTGACTACGTTCATGATACATACATAATGACAGCCAGAACCTACCTATCCACCGAAAATTTGGGCTTGAGTTGACAAAAATATTGGACTACAAATTGTTGCTAATCGTTCCATTCAAAGCTAAATAAAGAATTTACAAGTGCCCATTCTAATGTATTTTATTTTATGGAGACTTTAAACAGCATTCAGACATTAAATTATACTAAAGTACCAACACAACAAAATTTACTACCAAAGAAGAAAAAAATAACCTGCAATACCTAGAGAACTGTATGGGTGAGACACTGAGTATATTGAAGAGAAGCAGTGGCGTGTATCATAAAAAAAATAGGTGTTGCTCTAATAATTGTTGGTGACCTACCCCTTATTATACTGTTATACCGACTTATAAAATGCCCTATTTTTCTTTTATCAATACCCACCCACCCATATTTAAGGTGTTGCCTCAACAACACTTGGACCCTATGTTACACGCCACTGAAGAGAAGCTTTCGTGAATTGAATATTTAAAGAAAGTTTGCTTAAATTACAATGTATAATTATACAATGTATGATGTATGATATAATTACAGTGTATCAGAGACTTTTCTTACCTATATCGGTACAATTTGATTTATTGTTGATTTCAAATTTCAAACATCCAAATTGTGACCTATAAATGACGAGCTACTTTGTAAAAACTTACTATACATTAAAGCGAGTTCTCAAGTACTGATAAACTTTTGATGTTATAAAATACTAATTTATTTTGTTCCTATATCAGTATATCTCTACAAAGTTAAATCATCTATATTTTCAACTTTTTGATAAAAATATTAAATGTATTATTATTATTATTATTAATTATTATTACTTTAATTATTGACTTATTCTATGAGTCTTATACTTACTTTATAGTCTCTGTAACCTAGGTAGATATTACAATGTTTCTAAATTTTATCATAATTAATTGTCTTTGAACGGTTACTAATTAG